GGCTCCAAAATCCCTCCAGAGATGGCGACTCCACCACTGCCCTGGGCAGCCTCTGCCAAGGCTTCACAGCCCTTTCCAGGAAGAAATTCTTCCCCATCTCCATCCTCAACCAACCCTGGGGCAACTGGAAGACGTTTCCTCTTGTTCCTTGGGAGAAGAGACCGACCCCCCCTGGCTACACCCTCCTTTCAGGGAGTTGGAGAGAGCCAGAAGGTCTCCCCTCAGCCTCCTTTTCTCCAGGATGAACCCCCCCAGCTCCCTCAGAAGTTCTCCAGACCCTTCTTGTGCTCCAGAACCCTCACCAGCTCCATTGCCCTTCTCCAAACCCTGAAGGTCTTCAGGGTCCCAAAACTGGACTCAACTGTTGAGATGGGGCCTCACCAGTGCCCAGTCCAGGGGGACCATCACTGCCCCATAATGTGACTTTTTGGCCCGAAACCCAACAGAAATGGTAAAGGCATCGTGTTTTAAGGCATAGTCTTTTATGGAGGTGTCTCCTGAGACGTTTCCCTCTTGGGAGGGGATGGAGAGAGAGAGAGGACGGGTCCTGGTGGGATCAGAGGCTTTTTGGAGCCAAAACAGGAGAAATTGGGACACACGTGGGGTTTTTTTTCCCCCATCCCAGGACTACAAAGCCCTGCCCGGGGACCTGGTGGCTCCCTGGCCATGGAAAAAAGGACACGGGTCCCATTTTTCCCCCAAGGAATGGCTGGGCTGGGCTGTAGAGGCTGAAGAAGTCCCCAACCTCTCACAGGGATGACAGTGACTCGCCCCACGCGTGGTCACATGCCCCACGTGTGGTCACATCCAGGACACGCTCCATGGAAGCCCTGGGAGATGCCTCAGAGGGCAGATGGGCTGGGGCAGCTCATGGACCTGTTGGAGCGGGGCCAGAGGAGGCCTTTGATCTTACAATCAAGGAATGGTTTGGGTGGGAAGGAACCTTAAAGACCCCTCAGTGCCATCCAGGGACACCTCCCACCAGACCAGGTTGCTCCAAGCCCCCTCCAACCTGGCCTTGAACCCCTCCAGGGATGGGGCAGCCACAACTTCCCTGGGCAACCTGGGCCAGGCTCTCACCACCCTCACACCAAACAAGTTCTTCCCCACATCTCAGCTCCATCTCTCCTCTTCCAGTTTCAAAGTCACCAACTGGCCACTGAGGGTTGAACCTTCAAATGGGCCTCAACCCCTTCAAGCTGGTGCTTGAGGTGACCACCTGTTTGAGTTTGAGGGACACGGGGCTAATTTCTCTCCCAAGAAGTGGGAAAACTGCACTTTTAGAAGACTCCAGTGTCTGAATTGGGGAAAATACTCATTTTCCAGCCAGCTCTTGGGGTAACCTGGGCCAAGGTCTCAACTCATCCATCCATCCATCCATCCATCCATCCATTCTTTCCCCCACCCCAGGACTGCAAAGCCCTACCCGGGGACCTGGTGGCTCCCTGGCCCTGGGAAAGAGGACACGGGTCCCATTTTTCCCCCAAGGAATGGCAGGGCTGCGCTGTAGAGGCTGAAGAAGCCCCCAACCTCTCACAGGGATGACAGTGACTTGCCCCACGTGTGGTCACATCCAGGACACGCTCCATGGAAGCCCTGGGAGATGCCTCAGAGGGGAGATGGGCTGGGGCAGATCATGGACCTGTTGGAGCGGGGCCAGAGGAGGCCTTTGATCTTACAATCAAGGAATGGTTTGGGTGGGAAGGAACCTTAAAGTCGGGCTCTGTGCAACCCCCCCAGGCTCAAATGGCTGCTCCTGCCATAGATCTATGTCTTCTTCTATATCTCCAGAAATCTGTCCTCCTTCCTCCAAATAAATAAATAGCAAAAAAGCCAATTTTGGCTGGTGCCATCAGTCTCCTGCATAAAGGAGAGATGCCACCAGCCCTGATGGCTCCTATGGAGCAATCACTTCCTGATGGATCCCAGGGTTTCCACAGGGATGTCCCCCCCTCCACCTCGGGCTCTGTGCAACCCCCCCAGGCTCAAATGGCTGCTCCTGCCATAGATCTGTGTCTTCTTCTATATCTCCAGAAATCTGTCCTCCTTCCTGCCACCACCTTCTGCCTTTCTCCAGGGGCAGAGGAGGTGTCAGGATATCGATCGATGGGCCAAGGATATTGGGGAGATGAGGAGGAGGAGGGGACAACCCTCTTCTGCAGCCCCCTCTCCTTCCCTCCCTCCCTCCTTGGACTTTTGTGGGTAAAAAAGCACCAGGATGGGTAAAAATAACCATGTTATGGTGCTTTTTCTGAGCTGTCCCACCATGGCTTTCTGCTCGGGATGTCCTGGAGGTCTTTGCCATCCCAATGCCACCTCCTCAGTGGAGCTGCAGGGCCAGCAGGCACCAGGTAGTCGGGTCATGCTGGTGGCCTGGAGCATCCTGGGTGGCCACCACCCCCCCATCCTCCTGACACCCATCCCTTAAGGGTGGTGTTGATCAGATCCACCCTCAGCCTTCTCTTCTCCAGACTGAACAGCCCCAAGTCCCTCAGCCTTTCCTCAGCAGAGAGATGCTCCAGTCCTTCATCATCCTCACAGCCTCTGCTGGACCTTCTCCAGCAGTTCCCTGTCCTTCTGGAACTGGGGGGGAGCCCACAACTGGTCCCAGTGCTCCAGCTGGGGCCTCCCCAGGGCAGAGCAGAGGGGCAGGATGACCTCCCTCGAGGTTCTCCATGTTCTTCCTGATGCCCCCCAAGATGCCATTGGCCTTCTTGGCCACCAGGGCACGTTGGTGGCTCCTGGGCATCCTGTTGTCCACCAGGACTTTCTCCTCAGAGGTGACCTCCTCTCCTTGCCTGGAAAAAGGGCAACTGCATCCCCATTCCTGGCTGAAACACTCCCAAAAATCCCTTCGAAGCCGCTCCCAGAGCCAGTAGGGACCAGTGGATGGATCTTACTGGGCCCAGTACATGGGGGAAGTGACCTCCTCTCCTTGCCTGGGAAAAGGGCAACTGCATCCCCATTCCTGGCTGAAACACTCCCAAAAATCCCTTCGAAGCCGCTCCCAGAGCCAGTAGGGACCAGTGGATGGATCTTACTGGGCCCAGTACACGGGGGAAGGAGGAGCTGGGTGGCAAAGTATGACATGGAAGAGCTGGGATCATGTTCTTCCTCCCACTTACACACCAAAGACCCTGGTTTTGAGGGCGATTCCCCTCCTTTTAGCCCTAAATCCACCGCAGCCTATATTTATATTTTATATTTCACCCAAGTCTCTTCACCAAACGTGAAGCACCTCCAGAGTCCCCACCACCCACCCGGCAAGTGGGGTTCAGCAGAGGGAAAGGAGCACACAGAATCCTTCTTTTTCTTCCTTTTTTTTTTTCAAAAGAACGAAGGAAATCAAAATAAATTAAAAATACATATGAAAACTCCTTGTTATTCTGTCACGGGGATATGTAAATAAAATCTATGGGCTGCGCCCCGTCCCGTAATAGCTCCTCCAATTCATTCTCCTCCCGTGATTAAAATGAGCAATAAATTCTCAAAGACTCTCGGTGGGACGCGGAGACCGGGGTGGATGAAGCCCCCGGAGCACCCGAATCCACGTCCCCCCCCAGGGCACGATATTCATCACCCGCCGCCTTATGTTTTATATCCAAATCCCCTCGTTTTCATGGGGAAACATCTCCACAGATAGATATATTTCCCTTCCTCTCCTCCCTCTTCTTCGTTATAAAGCATAAAAACACAAGGCAGGTTTTTCTTCGCCGACACCGGACCCTGGAGACCTTCTACCCGGCAGATAAATCCACCCCCCGCCCTCTCCATCCCCCAAAACCTCCTTCTCCCGAAGGTTTCCAGGGTTTTATTCTCAACTTTTCCTCCTCAAAACTTGCTGGGAGAGTTCTCCCAGTGAGCAGCGCTTTGGGGTAACAGGAGACGCCGTGGAGGCATCAGGGGAGTTCCAGGTTCTGGTTTTACTTTGCCGTGGTGGAGCATGGAGAAGCCAGGAGGAAAGACCAGTGTCTACTGGTCAGGATGGAGGTTTGGCACTGGGAAATGTGGTCTGGGATTCCTGCCCCAGTGTGGATTTCCCATGGGGAGAACAGATGGGAAGCAGCTTGACCGGAGACTCAAAAGAGAGAGTTGGGTGAGGAACCTCATGAGTTGAGTTCGACCTCATGGAGTTCAACCTCATGGAGTTCAACCAGGTACCTGGGGAGGAATAACCCCATGGACCAGGAGAGGTTGGGGGTGACCTGGAAGTCCTGATGGGCAACAAGTTGCCCATGAGGCACCAACATGCCCTGGTGGCCAAGAAGGCAAATGGTCTCCTGGGGGGCATCAAGAAAAGCATGGCCAGCAGATGGAGGGAGGTCATCCTGCCCCTCTGCTCTGCCCTGGGGAAGCCCCAGCTGGAGCACTGGGACCAGGCAACAAGTTGCCCATGACCCACCAACGTGCCCTGGTGGCCAAGAAGGCCAATGGCATCCTGGGGGGCATCAAGAAAAGCCTGGGCAGCAGGTGGAGGGAGGTCATCCTGCCCCTCTGCCCTGCCCTGGGGAGGCCCCAGCTGGAGCACTGGGACCAGTTGTGGGCTCCCCAGGTCCAGAAGGACAGGGAACTGCTGGAGAAGGTCCAGCAGAGGCTGCGAGGATGATGAGGGACTGGAGCATCTCTCTGCTGAGAAAAGGCTGAAGAGCAGAGTGAGAGGGGACCTCATGGATGGTGAGAGACAGCTAAAGGGTGGGGGGCAAGAGGATGGGGCCAGACTCTTCCCAGTGGTGGCCGGGGACAGGACAAGGGGCAACGGGCACAAACTGGGACACGGGAACCACTAATTGGTTTTTCCTCCTCAAATAAGGTCTCGCACCCGGGGAGTAAAAATAGAGCAAAAAAATGGGGTTTTTCCCCTTTTTTCATCATGTTATTAATTTATAGAGACCTTTGAAGAAGCGTGGAGGTGCAGGTGCACTAAAGGTGCTCCTCCAGGTCTTCTGGATGACCTTTAGGTCCCTTCTAACCCAAAACCATTCTATGAGTCTCGGGCTCACCTTGGTCTCCGCCGCTCGTAGGAGACCCAGGACCTCCCCTTCCCGGGCGTAATCCAAGGGCGTGTGGCCCATCTCGTTCTTCTGCAGGGGGTTGGCACCTGGTGGAAGGAAGAAATGGATGAGATCAGGGGATGGGAATTGAGTCTTGAGGAAGAAGGAGCTTCTCGTCCTACTTTGAGACCACACCTGGAGAACCGTGTCCAGCTCCAGAGTCCTCAACACAGGAGAGACATGGAGCTGGTGGATGGGGCCAGAGGAGGCCACGGAGATGCTGGGAGGGCTGGAGTCCCTCTGCTGGGAGGGGGGGGCTGAGAGAGTTTGAGGGGGTTCAGCCTGGAGAAGAGAAGGCTCCGTGGAGACTTTGGAGCCCCTTCCAGTCCCTCAAGGGTTGGGGGGCTCCAGGAAAGCTGGGGAGGGACTCTTGATGAGGGAGGGGAGCCCTAGGAGGAGGAGGAAGGGTTTTAAGGGAAAAGAAGGAAGATTGAGGTGAGATGTGGGGAAGAACTTGTTTGGTGTGAGGGTGGTGAGAGCCTGGCCCAGGTTGCCCCAAGAAGCTGTGGCTGCCCCATCCCTGGAGGGGTTCAAGGCCAGGTTGGAGGGGGCTTGGAGCAACCTGGGCTGGTGGGAGGTGTCCCTGCCCAGGGCAGGGGGTGGCACCAAGGTCTCCAAGGTCCCTTCCCACCCAAACCATTCTATGATTCCATGATTTCATAGTTCTATGGTGTCCCCTCCCAACCTGTGCTCCAAGGGAGGACCTGGAGGAGAAAGGGACAACGTAGAACCAGTGGTTGCAGGCACCAGGAGGAAGAAAAGGAATTGGCACTGCTCGGGGGAAGGGGGATGAGAGCACTTGGTGTCACCATAAGAAGAAAATGCAGCCCCACAGAAGTACCTGCTCCCCGGGGTCCTGCAGGAGCCACGTGGGACCATTAGGGCTTCAACTGGACACCTCAACTCGTGGTTTATCTCTTAAACCAAGACATCAGGCCATGGGAGACACCTCAAAGGAGTTGAAAAGTCACGGAATGGTTTGGGTTGGGAAGGGACCTTCAAGCCCCACCAGTTCCACCCAGGGACACCTCCCACCAGCCCAGGTTGCTCCAAGCCCCCTCCAACCTGCCCTTGAACCCCTCCAGGGATGGGGCAGCCACAGCTTCTCGGGGCAACCTGGGCCAGGCTCTCACCACCCTCACACCAAACAAGTTCTTCCCCACATCTCAGCTCCTTCTCCCCTCTTTCAGTTTCCAAGTCACCAACTGGCCACCGAGGGTTGAACCTTCAAATGGGCCTCAACCCCTTCAAGCTGGTGCTTGAGGTGACCATCTCTCTGAGTTTGAGGGACACGGGGCTAATTTCTCCCCCAAAAGTGGGAAAACTGCACTTTTAGAAGACTCCAGTGTCTGAATTGGGGAAAATACTCATTTTCCAGCCAGCTCTGGGGGGTGGGATTCAAAGTCTTGGTGTTTTCCAGCCCCCCGGGTGGGGGGATGAGGAGGAGCGAGACCCGGGCACTCGCCCCAAGCTGCCAACGGGGTTATTTCATACCAAAAAAGTCACATTCCATAGAAATTAGGAAGTTTGCTGAGGGGTTTTCTCTCTCCCTCCATGGTGGTGGGTCCAGAGAACTCCTCGCCCCGATGCCGGAGCCCTGAGCCCTTCCCTTCCCCCCAAAAGCCCCAACGCCCCTGGGGTCCTACATTGGACCCATAGAATGGGCTGAGGACAATCCTGGAGTATTTCATATCGATAGCGGGGATCGATATTAGTTCTTTAGTATTATTAATGTTAATTATTTAGTCTCGTCCTATTAAATCTATTGATATTTCAACCCTGGGGTTGGTTTGTTTCCCCCCGCCCCGGGGAGAGAATAATTGTCCCAAGAACATTAAATTGAGGTGGGTTCCTCAAACACCATCCTGAGGTGGGGTGGGGGGGTCTCAAAGGGATTCCCAAACCCCCCCCAAAAGCAACCTGGGGAGGGAAGAGGGGGGGTTGTTGGGTCGATGCTCAGACTCCAACGATCCAACCCGGATTAATTCGCCCATTTCTAGGATTCTATAAAACCCATCGCCGGGGAAAGGGGGGGGG